CTACATGGTGCTATGAGTTGTGCCCTGAAATACAATGCAGCTTGCCAAAGTATGTCCTACTTGTTAATTGCCAGGGCAGCAACTCAAAACGAAAATAACCCCAGGGAAAGGTGGAGCTGTAAACTCCAAAAAGGAAATATGGTGGATTGAGAAAAGAATTCAAACACTTATACTCTGCTGGAAGTACAATTCAAGCTGCTATAGCCAAGTGATGATAGCATGTCAAAACTATACTGAGTTTGCTTTAAGCAGAATTCTGTGCCTTCATTTAAGTGCCTGGCTAAGAAAATGGGGAACAAATACAAAGTGCCTCAAGCTCAACTTGTGTTGCTGAACATGTGCTGCCGTATGCTGTATTCTGCAGTTTCCTATTTTAGTGTAACCCTAAGTGGTTTTTAAATCTCACTGGGAACTTCTAGCCACACTCACTACCAGCTATTACGATTTGTTCCCCATATGATTATTTGGCATACAAAAGTACAAACTTATGCAGCTCACTTTTTTTTTTTTTGGTAAGATAAGTTGTGTGGATTTACATCTGTTTACGAAAAAGGGGGTCATGTGAGCAGTGAGATCTTGTATTACTACTTTCTATCTATGCAGCATTTCCCAGTTGTACCATTTTCCATTTGAATATTATTTGGGAAATGAAGTCTACAAGTTTTATACTTAATGAACCTAATTCTTTTTTCTAGAAATAAACTTTCTATTACAGTAAGTCCTACTTACCCCTGTCTATTAAACTAGTAAAAAGTTCCATTAGACAATTGAGAACTAAACTCTCGTTTGGTAAATGCACAATCTAGTAACTTAAACCACTAAGAAAAAAAAATAAATCACATGTGAGAAACTGTTACATAAGTCATGTGGGGCTGTACAACACCTCCTAATAATATGATGTAGGTTAAATCTTTCAAAAAATGTAAATAAATTTACTTCAGTCCTCAGTTATTCACTATCTGTTCATATTGTTATAATTGTTACTCAGAGGATAATACCACTATTGCAATAGGTTAAAACAATAAATATACTAATACAGATTTCTTTTAAAAAATTTAGTGTACAGGCACAACTGTTGATATGATAACTCAAGTTCCAAGAAAGGTTAAAATATCATCTGCTGCTTGTGCCTTTTATAAAGTACCAGAAGCAAGTCTTTTCATATCACTTCTTACAGTCTCATTTTTAAAAAGAGTTTTATATTGCCTTTTTGCCACTGCAGAGATGCAGCTGCCACTCTGTAAACAGATGTGCTGTGCTTCTTACTGTAATAGCATTTTGCTAGAGTCATTAACAGCTCATATAGGCACTTACCCCTCTCCTCAGCCTATTCACCTTAGTGGTGGTGCAAACATCAAAGCTTAATTGAGGTCATTTAGCCTCTGACTTAGTTTCACTCAGGCAGTGCAGTCTTAAAAATGCAAATGAGCAGCATTAATACATTATGAAGGTTGCACAGTTATTCTACACAGATTGAGGATCTGGCCCTATGATTTGTAAAATGGTTCTACTGAAGCCAGTACAGCCATGTCAGTTTACGCTAGCTATGTAGGATCTGGCCTAGAGGGTCAGGAAAGACAGGAGTGGTTCTGCTGTATAACTTATACAAACATACTTGTTCATATGTACACAGGCTGCACACTTAAATGCAGTAGCTCTATTCGTGTTGGGACCTAGAGAGCATATCTAAGAGCTGTTTCACTGTAGTTGGAGCCTTAAACATTTATATTGTTTCTTGTATTCATAACTTGAACTTCAGTATAATGCTTGTATCATAGTCTGAATCCTGTTTTTATCAACCGTGGGGAAATTCAACTCCTTTTAGCTGTTCTTGGCAATGTTCTGATAAAATGCTTACACTGCGTACTTGTTTTCTTAAACCATCTTGCAGCGTCAGCCAGCGTTTGACACCTTTGATGGAGCAAACTCTTTATTTGCTGGATATTTTCCCACATTAAATGAAGATCAGACGCTTCAAGAAGTGCCAACAGGCTTTGATTCAACTTCTTATGGTAAATATTGTTCTGTAGTCTGAACAGCAATATCAATAGCTCAAATAAAATGTATTTGGTATTGGCTTCAGTAGCCCTTTCTCTTTGAGTAACAATCATTTTTTTGAATGTAAAAACAAGCATTGTGGAATATTTCGGGTGGGGGAGTTGTTTTTTTTAAGTTACTTTAGGGCTCTAACTTTGCCAACACGCTTAATTTTATTCGCAAGAGTAGTTACAATGATAGTTTACAGCTTCCCATGTTGAAGCAGAGTTCATGAGCATAAAAGGAATTGGTGTCTGTGGAAAGTTTCTGGAGCAGGCTCGAGGCTGCCTGTACAACAAGTTGGTAATATTGCTGATAGTTATCAACTTCATAATCTTCCACTTCTAGTATTTTAGTCAGAAATAATTTTGAAGCAAGGCAGGGAGAGGGAAATACAGAATATAAAAGTTCAGTCCAGCAGAATGGACAGATATAGGCATTCTAAAGCCCGTGAGCTTGCTCTCTGTCTCCCCTTTCTGGGGTGCATTTTACAGCTTTAACACAACACACTAAAGTAAGAAATTTGGCATAACAAAAAATTCTTGTGGTAGCACTGTACTCGCCAAGAGTTTTCCATTAAGCCTCACCTAAAATTTTCTCTGGCTTCTCTCCCCCACAAAAAAAAAGCATGGTACAAAAGAACATAAATATTATACCTCTAGGCTTCTTAGACTGGAAGGTCACTGAGCCTCTTATCTAACTGATTTTATTCTAATGAGTGACCTGATCTGGCAGCCAGACATCATCAAGCAAACAAGCACTCCAATATATTAGTGACGGGTGTGATGGAAACACATAGGCACCATCTTGCCAATGAACTGTGTGGGTGTGGTGTTTGACCTGCTTTATCATGTGGAACTCCTGACAGAACCAAAGGCTTAAAAAGCTAGAATAGCCTTGCAGCTGCATGCACAGTACTAAAATCTGAATAAAACATGACAACACTATAAACTCAAAGGACTGACGCATGCACGAACAGGGCTGAAACTCAGTCTAGAATGTCTCCACAAGCCATTTCATCACAGCTGCTTCTAAAGCTCTCAGACTCGATTAAAAATATGAGGTAGAGAGATTTTTACACAATAGTCACTCGAATTACGCTAGAAGATATGAAGCATCTCTCACCTTATTTCCTAACAAAGATAATTAAATCCCCACATAACCAAATTATACTTCTTACCACCAGAAATTAGCGAAGATCTGTATCAAAATAAATATTTGCAATTGATAATGTCATGATATGTGTTAAGTCAAATGTTGCAAGGCCTAAAATGGATGTATTCTGACTGGCTTGTTTATTTAGGGGTTTTTTCAGTTCCTCCTTTTGTAGTCACCTAAATAACCAAATAGATTCTCTCTCATCATTATCCTTCAACTAAATATTCACATGTTCTTCTCTGCCCCTGTCTTTCTTTTAGAGTCAAACAACTGTGAATTGCCACTCTTGACCCCATGCAGTAAGGCTGTGATGAGTCAGGCCTTAAAAGATACTTTTAATGGTTTCACCAAAGAACGGTGTCGCCTGGGTATTCCAAATAGTAAGTGCTTTCTTTCTATAACCTCCTTTTTTCATTTAAAAAAAAAAGTGAAAGGTAACAATTAGTACAATTCCTTGTCATTGAGAATTATCTATTAGAAAGTACAAGCATACATCGTCTGTGAATTTGGCACAGGTTTATGTGGAAAGATTAGACATGCTAATATAAATGGGGGGCATGCAGAGCTTGTATTTGGCAACATAAGAAAAATGAGCTCATCAACTGTTTCAAACTGAGTAAGGCAGAAAAATTTAGAGCGTTGTTTTAAAACGATAAATAAATTACTGATAGTTGAGCTCCAGAACTAAAATCCTATCTAATTTTGAGTCCCCACTCATTTCTTTTTAACTAAACTTATTTTAGGTTCTTATTAATTTCAAAGGTTGCCTCTAAATTTTTATTTTTCTTTCTCCCTACAGACCCTTGGCTGTGGACTGAAAACCAAGTTTGTCAATGGCTTTTATGGGCTACCAATGAATTTACTTTGGCCAATGTAAACTTTCATCGGTTCCTCATGAATGGCCAAAACTTGTGCAGCTTGGGCAAGGAACATTTCCTGGAGCTGGCACCTGATTATGTGGGGGAGATTCTGTGGGAACACCTGGAACAGATGATAAAAGGTAGCTAGATAACCAGAATCTAAACTGTAATTCCAATAATGAAGACAAACGCTACTATAATCATTTTCACTAAATTTTGTATTTAACTGCCTAAACAACCTACACAAATGCACTCATAAATCAGTGCAGATGAACAAAGTCAATAGGTCTCCCCATGGACACATTCATATGTGCCTTCCAGTTGGTTTGCAGGATGGAAGCCTAGGCAACTGCTCAGAAAAAAAAAGTGGAAACTTCTTGTTCTGTGGTTATTAGCAGTTTAGTAAATGAACAAGCACAGGACCAGTACTGAGACAACTCCACTGTTGGGCAGTAGCAGACAAACCAGTGGTCTTGTCTAGCTGAACTTGATTGTGTTGTTATCTTGTGTATAAAACAGTTATCAAAAGCCCTGATACCACAGACACACACATACCTAGTATCTTTGGCTTCTTGGACCTGCACGTGTATACAAATTAAACAGTTACATGAATGTTTGCAGAATCTTAGCCTTCAGACGTGCTGCAGATTTTTAGACAGGTTGAATATCAGAATTTCATTGGCATTAAATATTACTTGCTAGTAAGTACTTTTTTCAAAAGCTTGATTTGATGTGGATTTAGTATCTTGCTACTGATATCACAAAAATACTTTAAGGCTTCCTAGGTGTTCCTGTCCAGATCAGTAAATAGAAATACGTTTGTTCTGTTTTTCAGACAGCCAAGAAAAGACACAAGATCAGTATGCTGAATCGTCTCATCTCACCTCTGTCCCTCACTGGGTCAACAACAACTCATTAAGTAAGTCAGTTAAAACACAAGCTTGGTTTTAGTGTATGTAGTACCCAAACTCCTGTATATAGAACATCACTATTGCTAGCTTGAATAAAAAAACCAGAATGGATAAGTTTTTAGCAGGAGTTGTATTTAACCCCCTTTTTTGCTACCAGCCTTTGAGTGTGGGTGGAGTAGAGGTGGAGGTGGGGGAGAAATTACATGGATCATGGAACCCCTCTTCCCCCATCCTCCAGATTTGTGTATTTACAGTTGTACTTTTAACACATGAATTCTGTAGCTCTTAATCTGCTGATTCCTAAATTTAGAAAGGACCTTCCTAGAATTACCTAAGCGCTCACAGCTTTTTCAAGTGGTTCTAGTCCCTTTGAACCAGAGAGCTCTAGCAGTGGTCTATTAATCATACTGGAGAGAACCAGTTTTGTGATAATCTGGTTCAAAGCCTTTTGAAGAGACGGGTAGCCTCCCACTGTCACTGGATTTTTTGATTAAGACCATAACATAGTTTTCCTTGCTCTTTTTTTTTTTCTCCCCCACTCAGTCAGGTTTTGAGCAAAAAAAATTCTTGGTTACCTAACTGTGTGTGTATGTGTAGCACTGGGGAGCCTGGGGTTTGTTCTGCTTCAAAGGCATTGTTGTAAGTAGGACTGTTGTAAATAACTTATGAATTCTTTAATTTTCCATTAGGTGTTAATATGGAACAGAACCCATATGGTATGCTGCTACCTAGCTACCCCAAAACCCTCAGTTACTCCAAACCCAATCTCCTGAATGATGTGTGTCAGACTTCTGCAAGACCAAACCTCCTCAACCCAGATCAAGAATTTCCAATATTCCCCAAAACTCAACTAGAAACAGTTGGTGTGAACTACTGCTCCATGAACCAGGATTTCTCAAGAAATCTGAATTTGCTGATAGATAATTCTGGTAAGACATACTTTTAGCCCCCTGGCCACATGATGTATGTTCTTTTTTTCTTTATGTAGTTTTGTTTGCCAGAATAATCTAAGTAACGATGATTATTTAATTTTTTTTCTTAAGGTAAGCTTAGAGAGCATGAATCAAGTGACAGTGGCACAGAAAGCTATGAAAGTTCAGATTCCTTGCTTCAGTCCTGGAACAGCCAGTCATCTTTAGTGGACTTACAACGTGTCCCATCCTATGAAAGTTTTGAAGATGACTGTAACCAGTCTCTGTGTCTCAACAAACCTACAATGTCTTTCAAAGACTACATTCAAGAAAGAAGTGATCCTGTAGAGCAAGGGAAACCAGTTATACCTGCAGCAATTCTAGCTGGCTTTACAGGTAAGTGAAGTAACAAAATATATCTCTTCATGTCTCTCTTTTGTCATACTGATATACATCTACAGAGGGTATTTGTAGTTCAGAAGTATAATATACCCTTCCTTAGATAACATTGTTTCTTCATGAACTGATTCAAGTCCAAATATTAATAAAGCAAATATCACTGGACTATTGCTCTATGCAAAGTAAATACAGACCACATCAAAACTAAGACTGCATTCCATTTTTATAACTGACAGTTCTGACTTTCTGAAAAGAAGGTAGATCAGGCAACGTGTCCAGTTCATGAAGTTCACAGACACTGACTCACCTACTAACTGTTCATTGCTAGTGGCCTTGCTCAGGTAAACCTTCCTTTTCAGGAAGTTTTGCCAGGGCAAAAACTTAAGAACAGGATCTTAAGATTTTAAATATATGTCAACAGAAAGGAATCGAGAGAAAAAGACAAAGCTTAGTTCAACTAATCGTTTTGATTGAAAATGGTGATCTTGTCTCATTCTAATGACTCCCCTCAGCAAATTTCTGTCACAAACAAGCTGTTAGTGTTCTTTGCCTCATCCTAGTATGTTAAAATGAAATCAATTCTTTATTCGATAATATAGCCTTTAATTGAAATCAGTCGTTTTACCGATTTGTTATCTTGTTTGTATGCAGGCAGTGGACCTATACAACTATGGCAATTCCTTCTGGAGTTACTAACTGACAAGTCCTGTCAGTCATTTATTAGCTGGACCGGAGATGGATGGGAGTTTAAACTTGCTGACCCAGATGAGGTGTGTGCCTAATTTTTTATGAAATAAAAAGATTTAGGGTGCTTATCCTGTAAGTATGTAAGCAGTTCCTCTGTGGAGCTGTTCCACAAGACGCAAAGTTTACAAAATCAGACTATTGGTGAAATCTGTTTGTCTGCAAATACGTTACTATACAAGCTAGGCTAAGGTGAAGGACTTCTCAAGGTCAGTGATCAGTCCAATCACTTAAGTGTATGAAAACAATGTGATGGAACATTCCAACTTTGCATGTTGCTGTCACATTTGATTTACAGCATTGCTTATACCGCCTAAAGAAAACCCAGTTTAAGCAATGCAGTTGGGAATGCACAAACTTATGACATGTCATGTACATGTACATGTATTGAGGGCTGTATGGTTCCTTTTTTTTTTTTTAAGATATCCATCAAATTACTACTACGATGCATTTAAAATATGATCAGAAGCAAGTTTCAGTTATTTAACAGCTAGAATAAACTTCAGCTTTCTCACTGATGATGAAATTTTGTTTTCTGATTCAGTTAAGAGACCTGATCCAAGGCTCCCTGAAAGACTCCTATTGATCTCTTTAGGATACAGAGCCCTAAGTGACTCTGTCTCATTCAAGTTTCACTTAAGGAATTATACTGCACTGTTTATAAATTTACTCTTAACCACATCTCTATTTACGGGTGGGTTTTTTTTCTATTTTATTTATTTTTTATTAATCCCTTCTGGGACAAGGTGTCATATGGGCCCACCTACTCTGAATTGGCATTGTGTCCATTGTTTTGGTCATAAATTATGCTTTTCTCAATTCAAACTAATGCCAGTAATCTGAGCAGAGGCTGTTTTATTAAGTGTTCAGCCCTGCTACTCCCAGTCAGCCAAGTATCTCCACTGAATTCAGGACATTTGAACCAAATAAAATGGTTTGACTACTAAGTAATTTAAATTTTTCCAATAGATCAGCCACTGCCTGAGAGAGTATTTAATTTTTCCCCCCTCCTTTTGGCTGCAGGTGGCGCGACGGTGGGGAAGAAGGAAAAACAAGCCAAAAATGAACTATGAGAAGCTGAGCCGAGGCTTACGCTACTATTATGACAAGAATATCATCCACAAGACTTCAGGGAAACGTTATGTATATCGCTTTGTATGTGACCTACAGAACTTGCTGGGGTACACAGCAGAGGAGCTGCATGCCATGCTAGGAGTACAGCCAGACACAGAAGACTGAGCACAGCAATCTGAAAAACTGGCAGAGATCACGTGTTCAAACTGACAAGGAACCATCTGCAGGCAGCTTTTTTGACTGTCCAGATTGGTGCAACTGTTAAGAAATAAGGACCTTAAAGAAACAATGTTGTAACCAGGGAAAGTTGAAGGAAGAAGTGGCCTTATTTCATCAGATGCAATGGCGTCATAAATTGCTGCATCGGTCCCTTGAACAGAACGGAAGTCAGCATGGGGCCAAACTCCAGCCTGAAGACAAAGAAAGGCTCTAGGATTAAATGGTTTTTTGGCTGTGTGCACTGCCATATTCATCTGGGTGGTTTTTAAAACCAAAGCTTGGATGACAGACCAGGGATGCATCAGAATTCTAGCTCAAAACTTAAATTATCACTATAGCTTACATTGTATATTATGATCCATTTAAAAAAAAAAAAAACACTATTTATTTAAAATGGGCAGTAAAAAGAATCTGTAGTCTCTTCTAAAGTACATCTTTGTTATACATGAGCATACTGCACATGTACAGAAATGCGTCAGAACCAGGCGTAGCAATTGTAAAGTTCTCTCGGCAGAGGGGGAGGAAATCTCACCATTTCAACAGTCAGTTTGTGTATATATTCTGCGATTTTTTCCTTTTTGAAATTCTGTAATGTTCCTATTTAACAGATACTGTATATTGTAATTTAAACTAATTGTATGTGTGGTTTTTTTTAACTAGGAAGACCTTAAACATAAATGTTTGTTTCATGTTTGAATAGGACATACAACCTTCTACAAATATTTAATCTGCCTGAGGGACGTTATAAAATGCTAGGAACATGTACATGCTGTTGTATATGCTGGTAGTATAAAAGTCATACAGAGGGTTTCATTCAACATTTTGCCATGAATGTAGCTGGCAAATTCTTTACACATCTTGGCATTTTTACAAGAAACTTGGACATAAAGGGCCTGTTTTGTGGTTTCTCCTCTACCTGAAAGTTAAAATATGACTATGGATAAATGTCATTTTTCTTTGATAAATGGCATATGTTTTGAACTTCTATGCATGTCCTCTTTTTTAAAAAAAATTGTATACAAGCAAATTTTTTTTCAGTTGATTTGTTTTTTCTTTACTTTTTGGTTCCAGTTTATCCTGTATGAATTCTATTTTTGGAAATATTTGTGACTCCTTTTCAGAGATCAGGAGGAATTTATGTAGCAGCTATTTTTACTGCAAAAACAATTCACTGGAAAAATGTAATTTGTAAGAAAGCTTTATTTTTTATCTGAGCTTGATGTACATTTAAATGTGGTGTACATTGTGAGAGGTTTAAAAAAAAATCAAATGTTTATTAAAACCTCTTGGGGAAAGAAATTTAAATAATTGTGTGCATTTCTTAAACTTTGTTGAATTCCCAGTATCTCAAGACAGTCTGAGCTGGATTTCTCATTTCTGTTTCTGCAATGTAACAATAATATCTGAAGTCCAAGGGCTAGTTTTGTTTCACGTTGATATGAGAGGAAAGTGTAAATTCAATGAGTTACATCAGTGCAAAGCTTGGAGGTGGAGAATTAGGAAAAGGTACCTTTTTTTGTATGTATGAGTTCAGAAAGATCCTAGACTTTCCTTTGAGACCTTGTGTTGATGCTCTACCAGGTTACTGCTAGAAAGTAGGATTATAAGAAAGTAGGACTGGAAGCGATGTCATGTGGTCATCTAGTCCAGCCCCTTGCTCAAGGCAAGGTCATCCCTGACTAAACCATTCCAGACAAGTGTCTGTCTAATCTGCTCTTGAAAACTTCCAAGGATGGAGATTTCACAATTTCTTTAGGTAGCCAGTTCCAGCACTTGACCATTGGCATAGTTAAAAAGTTCCTCCTAATCTCCATCCTAAATTTCCCCTGTTCCATCTTGAGTCCTGTCATGGAGAAAAGCTCATCTCCATCCTCTCCGTAACTGCCCTTCTGGTATTTGAAGACTAGTTATCAAATCCCACTTCAGTCATCTCTTCTCCAGACTAAATAAACCTAGTTCTTTCAGCCTTTCCCCATAAGTCTCGCCTCTTGGGTCCCTGATCATCACTGTTACTTTCTCGGTTTCTAAAAGTTTCATTTCCAATGCACAATTTTTTTTCCACCAAAAGACAGCAATAGCATTCATCTAGAGCTGAAGCTTATGATTTGTTTTTCATATGACAGCCCTAGCTTAAACAAAGGAAGAAAAAAGAAGATACATTTCTATTTCCTAATTTCAGCAAAAGAATTTATATCAGTTGGAAACATAAAGTCTCCAAAAAACTGCTCACATTAGCCCTTTTTTTTCCAGGCGCTTAACCTAATAATTTGTACTGTGTTACACTAATGGACACAACATTAAGTCCCAGGCACAAGTCTCTATGCACTACAAAGGAAGTCCATTTTTAAAGAGTGTTTTATGCCTCTGAACACGGCATGTAGGAAATTAGTCTTTTTTTTCCCCCCAGCAGCCTACAGACAAACAAGTAGCCCATGATTCCCAGTAAATCTCCCTGTTCTTAACATCATGCCCAGTTGTCTTCCAAACAAAGAAACAATGCCAATGCCAGTCCTTCCAAAGCCTGCTTTCTGCAGGACTCTTGAAGCCACTAGTCTGTCAGAAGACGTAGACAAGGTTCTTCGAGTAAATGTGATATCTTTTATTAGACCAACTAAATAGCTGGAACAATTGTTTCAAAAGACAAAAATTCAGTATCTCCTATGCTTTAGGATTGTTGATTAGCATGCAGCCTCCATTGATGAAGTTCCACCTTAACTATAAGCAAGCTTCCACAGGGCTATTGCCCTCTTCAGTGCTCCTTAATCTCCTTTTGATTACCTTGTATAAGGAGTACTGGTTACTGTAAGGCCCAGATTTTCTAGATTCTGTTCAATTCCCAGTTCTCTTACAGGCTTCTTCCTGTGTAAACTGGGTGAAAATACTTCATCTCTATATTCAGCTCCTGATCTGTAAAACGAAGGCTAAGAGTCTTCCTTTGACTGTCTTGTCCATTGAGATTCCAAACTCTCTTAGGATGAGATTTTCTTGCATGTTCAAACAGTGCCTTCCACAAAAAGGACCTTAATTCTGTGCCTGTAGGTATTATGCTACATAAACTATAAGAATTCAGCAGTATATATGCAATCAACTGCAGCAAGATCTCATTTCATCAAATGTTAGGGACTCAATTTTTTTAAGATTAAACTGCCTCATAAATCTAATTATGTAGATTTAAAACACCACTCTGTATAATGCAGGCTTAAATACAGAATATATTAAACAGATACTGAGATATATATCAATATCAGCATCTGTTTAATATATATTAACATCTCTCTCTCTCTCTCTCTCATATATATATTTATAAGTGATGTTCCAAATCTATAAAATTAAATTCTTCAGCAATTAGGATCCAGCATCTGTTTGTATAGTGCAGGCCGAAATACAGAATTTGACCCACAGTGGGTGCATCTACATGAGATGCTACAGTGCCATAGCTCATTGCTATGGCACTGTAGCGTCGCTGGGCACAAACCATGACAGCAATGCTACTGCACCATAGTAATGAGCTCCTACACAGTATCTCTTTGCTACTGGCCAGTAGCATCTAAAAATAGCATCTAAGAATAACCATGCAGTGATGGGACTGCACAGTAATGCCAGTTACTTATGCAAGTACTAAATGGCTGCACAGTAAGAACTGTGTAGTCTACTGCATGTGCAGATGCGGCCACTAACATCTTGCAAAGTATTCTGATACCCTACTCCAAAGTAAATGTCCACCAGTAACTAGAGACCACAATATTAATTTTGCTAAGAAAGCCTACTAGAGTCATAAAGGCAAGACAAAATAGTAAAAGAAAAAGAGAGGAAGAAAGAAAGAAAGTCAGCCAGTCTCTTTCATTTGTTTCATGAGTGTATCACAGACCTCCCCAAACCTTAGTGCAAATGATCTAGAGTGGTGCAATTACACGGAAGTCAGAATTTGAAAGTCTATGAATTCCATGAATCGTTATAATTAGAGCCACAAAAAAACCCCAAAAAAACCCAACAGATTTGTCCAATGCAGTAATTAATTTTCAGGTTCCTGGAATGAAATCCAAAGCCCTCAGGGCAGCATTTATGCTCCCCATAAAATACAGAGCTATGCGCCTCAGAAGTCCAAAACTGCCAACATGATCAGGAACCAGCAAAAAAATCAGTGTCCTCAAGGTGCAGAGATCTGGATCTAACTAATAAGCAGTCCAGAGCACAGGGGTGAGTCTTAAACCACTCCTGCTATATACCTCATCTAGGACTGCCAGGAAGTACATCCAGTCAATCACGATCCACAGCAGGAAGCCTCTCCTGAAGTGGGGAGCCTGCGCCCTTTCTTTCAAAGAGCTAGCAAGACTCACTATTTTCTTGTAAAATGGAGGAGGTAAATTAGCCACTACCAGCCCCCTTCATATAAATGCTTAATAGAGCTCACAAGAAGTGGAAGGCCTCAACTTCCGCCACTGCCTGAAAGGATAAAAATCTACATCTTCCACCTCCTCCCCACCAAGCAATAGGTTAGTCTGAGTGGAACGTCCTGCACCCCTCCTGTTGAAGCTGCACTTCCATGTAGAACAGAATGAAAGTATTTTGCATGAGACAGTTCAACAAAATGCAAAAACTGGCCTATGAGCAGGGAGTGAAACCCAAGACTCCCTCTTCTACAACTAAATATTAGGCTGCAGAGTTTTTCTACCTTTAATGCCCTTTCTCAAACCTAATGATTTTTTTTCATATAAAGGCTGAATTTGGCAGAACATGATTCTCCCATTTAACTTACATTTGTGAGCAGGATCTTTACTAAGTAACGGGACACATTTTGGCTCAGTGGGAGGCAAAGATAAGCCATGAAAGGCAGAGGAGGAAGAGGTGTGGATCCAACAGAAATATTACTGTTGCAATAAACATGGTGTTGTCTTGCCTTCCCCTTCCCTCCCAGCCATTCACAGAGCCTGATCTTGAGGGATACTAAGAACCAGATCAGGTTCCAAAACCCCCCAGCCTTATCCTGTTGCTACTGAATAAGCCGATCTAACTCCAGCTGCCTAACAAACCAAAGCAGATGATTTTTGTATAAGGATTAACTGTTTTTGAATATTTTCCCCAATGTCCTAGGCACAAGGCTCCTTTTCTTCAACAGGAATGTGCTCCTGCTTGCTTCTCAACTATTTTTCCATTAAACAAACATCTGCAATGTTGCCAATGAAGTGATAATTCCACTTTCTCCTCAAGGGGCTTTGTAAGAATTGGAAGGCTCAAAATACATCTTTTCCATACCCGTTGCCTTCTCTGTCCATAACCTTCCAAAATTAATGAGTTTCTACATGCATACTTTTCTACACATTTAATCAATAAAAACATATATAAACATCTAATCAGGCATAACATCCTAAACACCCAAGGAGAAAGTTATTCTGCTAACTAGCACCACAGATATGTAAGTCAACATTTCTGTCTTCATACACTAATACCTGTAGAACCATAGCTGGAAAAGACCCTGAGCTTATAGTCACAAAGTACTAGTACTCTAATGCAGGATTGCTCTTAAACTGTTTTTGCCAAGTCCAGTTGTCAGGTAATGGATCTTCTATCATTTCTTTTGAGTGATTATTATACAGTCTAACAAGTCTCCCTGATAGGAATCTTGTCATCTTGTTCAACCGGGGGCTCACATACATTACATCTTCCTTTCTTAAACCAGTGTGTCTCTCTGTCTTAAAAGCAGCTTAGATGTTTACCAAAATCTTGAAGTGTGGGCAGTATTTCCAGCTTATTTTTAGGACATAGCAATCAAAATACAGCCAGTGGAAAATAATTTAGTAGAACCATCCCCACTGGCAGGCGTGAGAGTTTTATGTTTTTTATTACATTATTTTTTTCTACAACACATATTAAAATATTCTTGCTCATTAAAAAAAGAAAATAAAAAACATGAGCTGCCTGGCAATCCCTGAGCATTGCTTCAGATACAGTAGAAAGCTTTAAGAAGGTGGAAGAGTTTCTTAAGGCACCACTGTGGTTTCAAGCTGTCAGAAGAATGGGCAATTACTGAAGTGACATGAATGGAAACTGCAGTGATTCAAAAAATTATTAATAGCACATTAACAATGTCCCTTGAATAGCCCTCCACTGTACTGGAAGACAGTGGCAGGATTTTGTCCTATACCCACTCCTGGCTCTGCTTTATTTAGGCTTGTGAATAATTTACAAAGAAACTAATTGAAATCAAACTTGATTGGGAGTCTAACCCATTTGCAAACCTCAGCTCAGGCTCCAGAACAGCTTACTGAACACAGGCTATCTCAATTCTCCCTAAAGGTACC